CACCAAAGGACTGGAAAAAGCCCTCCTGTTTGTTTTCAAGATGACAAAGAATCAGTATTACTGTTCAGAGACATAAAGCACATATGTCTAGCCTTGCATTAGCAGCAACACTCACTCAGCAGATTAGAGGTATACTCTATATACAGGCAGGTGAAGGATTCCATTGTTAGTCTCTTCATTCATTTGCCATAAATCTCATAGGTAGCTATTACAGTTATTCATTATTCAAATTTATAATCCAGAAATATAAGCATTACTTTTCTACGCTCTTCAAATGATAATTTTAGGAACATAACATTATCAATAGTCCGAGAAGGAGTTCCCCCCTGCAAGAGGAAGGAGAGGAGGCATCACTCAATTGTAAAATTGAGTAAAAGTTAAGATTACATCTGAGGTGCACAACATCAACGTGGCAGAGGAGGGAAATACTACGGTGAACTGAATTGCTTGTGTCTGAATTCAAAGAATGGCTGAGGCGAAAGTTCACACACACAGGAGGGATACCTTTAATTAAACAAGCACTAATCTACATGGACATATCTTTGTGATTTACATAAAGAACCACATTCACACACTATCTTCAGCCACAGAAACAATATTTGTTTTACAACACAAGCTTTAAGGGAACATTGAAGTTGTAAAGTGTGTGGTTCTGTGCCTGTTTTGTCTGCTTTCTTTGCAAATATAGTTGCAGAACTGCTGGAAAGCTGGTGACTAAAACAAAAAAACAATTCAAGTGCAAAATAAGCTTCTGTAAACCTGTACAAATTGTATTTGAAGAGTGTATTATGTAGCAAAATTCTTGTATGTTATAATGAGAGAGGAGAATAGAGGCTGTTTATTATCAGTAAAAAAGGCAATTCAAAGTAATTTTTATTTGCACTGTTCTACCACGCAACGGCTGGACCTCAAGACCCTGCAATAGTGGGTGCTATACAGACTCGTAACAAAAATGCAGACCTTGTCCCAAAGAGCTTACAACACAGTCCTTACAACAGTAGCACACATAGGATGTAAATATGTAGCCTAAATAAAACACATGGCATATATTGCATGCATGACTATGTCCTAAGTTTTTAAAGGGAAATAGATTTTAAAAGCACATTGCTTTATATGGAGACTTAGGATATATCTAAGACCTTTCAGGCAACAGTGTTTATGAAATAAATAACACTGAGTGAAAAGCATGCTCTACATGCCGATACGGCATTCAGAAGCATAGCTCTAACAATTGAAAATGCAAGCGCCAGTGTTAAGCTGTCAAAAATGTCCCTTGGAAACACTAGTCTATTACTTTGCTGTGAACTGATTTCTAAGGCTGCTTAATGGAACAAAACCAGATACGTCTGCAAGATTGGTTTTAGGTAGATGCTGATCCCAGTAGGAAGTTCATCCTCAATTCACGTTCAGACTTCAACCAAACAGTAACCAGGATTTATTACCTGGAAGTCTTCTGCGTAGTCACAAGTCTGTGTAAGTACCACACAGCTTGGATACCTGTGCCAATTCTCACTGCTCCCAGCTCACAAACAAGACGTGAATTTTACCTCTATTAACATTCAATGATAAAAACACCTCTTTAAAGAATCAGGCTGAGACACTACATCTGCATTTCCTAAATTGTAATTTTGTAGATCTCCAGTCATTCACGCACTTGAGCTCACTAATTTAAGTTTCAAGCATCTTACTAAAGCTTGCTTTGTTGAACTAGTATTTTGGCAAAATGACAAAAGAAAGCAGTAAAACTTGAGCACACACCACACCCCCCCAAAACCAAAACCCTACCTGCACCCCAAGCTAAAGGAAACTGTCAAATCCATTAGAACAAATGGAAAAACACCAAGCTCAAAATAAGGGACAAACCCGTATGAACGTTTATAAGACGAGGCTCATTTCCCAATATGAGCACTGTCTATGAAAACAGCCAACAACTTTCAGGATTTCCAAGGAACATATTAGCAGAAGAATGACTAGTTACCTACTAAAAAAATACCAAGGGAATACCCCCACCACCCACATACACCCACCCAGTTGTGACCAACAATTTCAGCCAGCAATCCTGTCAAATCTAATACAGTACTAAAAATGTCTTAACAGACACTGGCTCATATGAAATTCACATTCAGGCCTGTAGGAAATTCTCAGGCATGGACTGAACAAAAAAATTCTCTTACCTTTCTAACTACCAGTTAGCTAATTGATATACAGAGGCAAGTAGCAACATTATTCAGAATCCAGAAGTCAACTGCTGCCTCTTTCCATCCTCCTAAAACATGCATTTAGGTGTTGGGGGGGGGGGAAATGAAGTGAAAGTATTTGGTGAAAAAGCAGTGAATACAATTCACATCAAAGGAAAGGAAGTATCAGGAGCACATGGCTACAAAGATCACTGCCAGATTTAAAAAATCCTTGACAAACATTTTCAGTTCATTATTTGTTTACACTGGAGGAACAAACTCATTGCTTACCAGACATCTCAAATTACAATACAGACAGCCAAAAACAAGAAAAGAAATTGCTGATATCAAAACCAATTTACAGAAAATCTCACAGATGTTAGCCACTTCATGATCCACTTAAATATTTTTTCCCAGATGAGAGAAATAATTCTCATACGAACTCATGCCTTAGTATTCTGAGAAGACCTGAACTACCAAAATGACGATTATTTTAAAACTTGTGATGATATTCAAATATCCTTAATGGAGGAGTGAGCTGCTTTATTTACTTTGGTGTATCAGATCCATTGAAGACCTCTTGGTTTTGAACTGCTGTACAAAGAAAGGTCCAGCATGATTATAGAAACCACAGATGAAGACAACATGTAGCCCACCTCCCATGAAGATGACACTGACTTAGTATGTGCTAGAGGAGGGGGGAAAAAAAAAGAAAAATCTCAGCAGATGCTTGCAGAGCAAACAGGACAGGTAAAGAACTAAGATGAAGTAAACACTGTAAAGTAGCAACAGAACAACAGACTCTAAAGACTCAAGAAAGCCTTGCATGAGTCCATCACACATCTTATGCTTCTGCTCAGAGCTGTGCGGGAATGACCTTGCTTGGTGCCAGCTAGGGAAAGGAGAACACCAACCTGAATACACGCACTCCCGATGACCAGGCATTCCAGCTCGAACCCACCTAACCACTGACAATGCTTTCAAATGTACAGAAGGGTAAATAAATACATCCATCAGCATGCAAATGCTGTTCTAGAGACACTATGAGTCATTTTAAGTATTTAGTAAAAGAAAAACAAACAAGTATACTTCCAAAGTATTTTGTACAGCCTCTGTGCTATTTCTCACTAGGAGCATTCAAGGTAAGCCACCAAATTTTTATACTAAAACCACATTCACTTGTTAGTTTGCTGTCTGTGCTCCTGTGCACATTTGTCTACTTACATTTCACAGCAACAAAAGAAAAAAGGAATAATCAAAAATGGAACCTCAGTTCTAACAAAAGAGGCAAAGGATAAGCACATCTGTATAACTGCTGCAAGTAGAAAACACTAGCTAAGTCAACAAGAACTTTTACCCTGGGAAACTATCAGTGCCATTGAACAAAACCAGAAAAATTATTGATTCTTAGCTTTGTGGACTGTTGACTCTGGAAGTCATCCAGCTGGTGATAAAGGAAAGTAATATGCTTCTTAAAACATTAAAAACTCAATAACCTCACATGAGAGTTTGTATCCCCATTTTATATGGGCAGTTTCAAATACACAGAAGAGCAAGTAACTATGTACACAAGACCTTAACACATTAGGTGCATTAAGAATGACTAGCAATATATATTTTATGACAATGCTCAAATCTGTCAGGTGCTTTACTATTCTGAGAAAAAAAAAAAGTACAAGCTGCAAACTCAAAAAAAATCCCGAGTTCTGAATTTGTTTCTAACAGCTACCAAGCTACCTTCTTCCTTCAAGAAAAAGAAAATAACCAGTTAGCTGTAAATGATTCAGCTCTAATAAATATACATACTATAAATTTGCTATTTAAATGCTTGCTAGCCTCTCCCATTACATGGTAGAGTGGTAACATCTGAAAATTAAAACACTGTCTTGAGGCTACAAACTAACATTTGTTTTGTAAACAAAAAATCTGGTACAATCTTTTCCCCCCAAATAAGATGACAAAAAGGAGCGCTTATATAAACGGAATCATTTGATCACAAAAAAGAATAAAAATTGTAGTGATCAAACGTAAAATTCCAGTCATAATTGTAAGGTGCAGGATCCCTGCCAGACCAACAGAATTTAAACACTAGGATCCATGTGGAAAACATTAATTACATGATACAAGATAGACAGTGGCTACACAGGCTTGACAGACCTCTGTTCCAAATCAACAGCCATCAGCATCCCTCTGCCACCACCACTCACCTACGTTAAGCACCATAAGTATTTTTCTTCAGCAGTTACAATTTGTTTGTTTGTTTTTTTGTCAGACTTATCAAAGTCAGCATATATGAACAATGTGTAATTTTCTATACTATGCCAAAGGCACACTGCCCCTTATGTGCAGGAATGGAAGTATATCTAATTTTACATTGTCTTTGGCAAAGCTGTCTTCTATAACAGTCTGGTATTGCCTTCTCTTTTCTCCAAGCCTACAATCATCTTTTTTTTTTGGTGTTTTTTTTTGTTTTGTTTTTTTACAGGTATTTATCCAGACTGTGCACAGAAATCAACTAAAACACACAGAAATTTACTGATGTATTTCTGATGCAGGACCCTTATCCCTACTAGAAAAAATAGGGTTAATAACTAAAAAGCATTTTTTTCTTCATATCCCAAGCAGATGATTGCATAACAATCCAGGGGATTTAGACAGACACCTATCATGCACAGTGCATTTGTGGGTGCCAACATGCATTGCCAAACTGCACCAGTCACTTACAGAGTCTCCATAGCACACGGAAGAGCTAATAAAACGTTGTGCCTGCTGTGCAGCGTATTGCACACACAGCCCTGATCGCGCTGCAGAACCGCGACATACCTTTCAGTGTTTTGGAATTCCCGTTCTTTTGCTGCTCATCCTCTTCGTTAATGGTGAATAAACCCAAGGGATTTGGCCTGGCACTTGTCTTCTTCAATCTCTCTTGTCGGAGGGCTGTAGTTGAACCAGGCATGTTGCTGTTGCCTCTTGCTTATTAAAAAAGTAAGAAACTGCAGCCCCTGCTTAGCAGCTAGCTGCAACGCTGCCTGTTCATTTGAGCACTTGTAATAGATCCCCTATGGATAAGCAGTATGCAAACAGCTGACAAATACCAACATCCACTCGGCAGCAAAAGCCTTGCAGTCTTTCCCCACCTTCAAGAAAAGCCCTAATTAAAGGCACATTGGTTTGGATGCTGCTTGTCGCTGTCTTAGCCTGTTCAGTCAGATCCTAGCCCACAGCTCCGGGTTCCTTGCTGCAGCACCTTTTTCCCTGCAACCCTCTTCCAGCTACAGCACGCTAAAATATTCAGCACGCAACACAAGAGGAGAAAATATGATACGCCGCTGTTAACAGTTGCCCTGACAACACTGACACATCCTAATCAAAAGGGGTCTATGAGCGTTGTCTCCTCAGCTGCAGCAAGTCGCCCTCAGGAACGCTGTCTCCCGCACGCTTGCGGAGAGCTGGAAGCACCTCGGCAGCAGGGGCTGCTCCTTCCTCCTCGCAGGGCGGCAGGAGGATGGAGCTGTGCTTGCACAAGCAGATGAGCACTGAGTGAAAAGGAGCCTGGAAGGCTCCAGGCATGAACCTGCATTTTGCCAGCTGCTCTGTTTATTCATGTTTAGCAATTTTAGCCTAATCTAAGCTAAAACAATGAGGATGTCTTCTTCCATATATGCATGTGTTGGGTGTCCGCCCCCCCCAACTTAATCACCTTCCTATGCAGTGCATACCTTTTGCATTAGGAATGCATACACCCACAATTACAGGCAGGTGTTGGAACACTCTCTTCTATATGTGAAAACTCAAAAAATCAGGATTTCTAGCTTGTACAGACAACACAGGACAACGAAAGGACTTTTGGAGTGAATATTCTGTACCACACCATTAGTTCTACAGCACCAACCATTAACATTCACTTTGCAAAATGAACAAAATACAAACAGTCTGGGTGGTTTTAATTAGCTGGATTTCCTTCATTTGCTGGCATTCTGGATTTTCTTTAGCTGTTTACGACAGAGCACTTGCTCACAAGTTTTGCAATCGGCGTGTTCCATCCTTCACAGCTCCAAGGGTCACTATGCAACATGCCAGATGTTTTACCTGTGAGACCTTCATCTTCATCCACTTCCACCTCTCTAATGAAATGTGTGCTCACCATTTCAAAATGCTACCGAAGAAAAACTGCAAGCTAGAACATCTTTACAATGTTAAAATTACCAGATTTTCCCCACTTCGGATTTTTTTTTAAAAGAGAAATTTGATGTAACATGATCACCCGCCACAAGATGGCACATACATTAGCTGACAAGTCTGCAGGTGGCTCATATTGAAAATACAAGATTGTACAGATGTATATGATCACCTCAACGACATGGGTAACAATACTGAAGAAGAAGGGTCAAAGTTTATGACAGTCAACATGATATGTGTCACAGTGGCCTGGGATGCTCTTTACAGAGGAGCCCTGGATGGTGCTCAGCTGGCAGGACAGCTCTGTTCTCACACACCTCAGCCTCACCAGCCAGGAACCCAGTAGATGGAGAACACCACAGCACCACCTGAAGGCTCAGCTGGACCATTCTTCCTTTTCCAGCATGGGTACAAAACACCCAACCAAAACAGAAGTATTCTGCAAGAGGGCACCACTTCTGAACCAAGCCCAGAGCCCACCTCTGGTACGCGTTTCCTCCTGGCTACGTCCTGCCGCTTGGCTACACCTCGGACTCTCTGGGCGTAGACGGAAGCTATATATGATGGCATTTGTCTACAGTTAAAGACACTTTGTACTAAAGGGCGTGAACAAAAAAAAAAAAAAAAAGAGTAAGGAAAAAGAAAAGCTCTAACGCAAGCTGTTCTTTAGCTCAGCCATTTGCCTTCTGGGGCTTATACAGGCTACTACTTTGTCCTGTAAGAGAAACAGCTCCATTCCTCAAATCTCATCCACTTAATGCCTGCCACAAATACTACATAACAGTACACACAGAGCCACAAAAAGAGGACGGTAGTTAGTACCATGAATACTTTACATGCATGCCCAAGACTGTTGCCAACAGAACAAAAGTAACAGAAACAACACATGGCAGCTTAGTTAAATATCACTCCACTCCCTTTCACTGTTTTAAGTCACTAAGAAAGGATTTCTGCCCATTTAAACATTCTGTTCAATCAATCACCTTTAATTGCTACACTACTTAAATAGGCCTTTTAAAACACATGAGAAGTATCTAACACAAAAATACACCTGACTGGAGGGGCTTCCAAAGGGGCTTTCAAGCTTACAGGTATGATAAACTGTTTCAGCATCTCTGTTTCCCTATTATCTGAGAAGTCATGGGGAACAGCTACAAGATTGAGAATGCCTTCCTTGGTCCTTACAGGATCCCCTGCACCCATAAGAGTGACTTGCTCCGAGTACAAAACGTGGTAATGACTAAGTTTAATGCTTCTGGGGCTAGTGAAGACGGATTTGGGCTATGACACACAGGCAGCTGAGGCGTTGGTGCATATTTCTTTCTGTTGACTTACTAATGCAGAGGTGAATTCTAACAGAGAAAAAATGATCAACAGCACATTCAGCTTATGCAGCATGATTTTATTTCAAGGCCCCTGTGGTCAAAAACTATGCCAGCCCACAACATGTTTCCAAATGCCTAATAAAATGGCACCCTAGCCACCTGCAACCTGTTACAAATAAAAGACACCTATTACAATAGAAAATAGCACATAACTTTAGGTACTTTGTTTTTTGTAAAAAAACCTTCCTAATAACACTATTAAACATGCATAAAAAGGTACCAATGCTGTATAAAACCAGACTGTACTGACAAATCTGCTCCCTCCATCCATTGGTTTAGGGCAGAAAAAGAAACTCCTGAGGTACTCCTAGCAAGAAAGTTTTGATTATTTCAGCCTTGTCTCAGCTCTGTGGGACCTTCTATATGAAAACCAGGATGAAGGCAATGCTCCCTTGAGAGCACAAAGTGGTGGATAATTTTAGTAGCAAGGCTGTTAAATTCTTTAAAAAAAAAAACACAACCAAAAAAACAACAAAAAATACCCCCAAACCCCACAAAACCCCACATTTGTTTACACAGCCCCTATTAGGGATTTTCCCCCGCCAACCATTAGACGTACCATGTACCAATACAATCACAGTTGAGCTCTTACTGATGGGGTGAGACACTCTCAAGAGAAGGAATGAGGGCAAATGTGTATCTTGAGGGCACGGGATAATTTTTGGTTTTTCCTTTTTACAACACTTTCAAACTCACTATCAGTTAAACCACTACACTTAAACACACCCAGTTTCACCCACCGGATTCTATAGGTATAATTACCTGCACAATACATTATCTGATATGTAACAGTCTTAACAGCAGTTTGAACAAAGACTATTAGGATAATTATGTTGTGATCTGGGAAATGTAAATATAACAACGTTGTAATTGATGTTTCTGCTTTAACATCAGGTATTAAGGCTTGATATCTCTACCTATGAAATGAAAAGCAAGTTGAAGCCAGTCACCAGAACAGTCACCATAATAGCTACATGCCGTCTACTATGGGTAATCTGATAATTTTCAACGGCTAAACTCTAGATTTGATATCTTCCTTCATTCACAGGATTGTTTCAGTCCCTGTAAACTACGCAAACACTACATGAAGTTCATTACTGGGATTTCGAATATGAGTTGCACTTAAGTTCATGTTCTACAGCCACTGCCTTGTGAAGTACTCTGCCAGTCTGAACTTACTGACGTGAACCTTTTTGCTCTTTCACAGGGGAGAGGGAAGACAAAAGGCAGTATTCAACACGAGTTAGCTAACTAACAGAAAGGAAAAAACTTGTGAAGACAAGACAATTTGTATCTTTCACAAGAGTTGGCAGGCTGTGATAACTAGGACTGCATATGTTTTCAACAAAAAAAAAAACACTTGATGTAACACTAACTGAAAGCTATCTTGTGTCATTGGGCATGTCAGGTTACATTACAGAAAATCAAGCCAACTGAATTCAAGATCATATACCATTGCAAAAGGGGCAAAAGAAATTTATAGACAAATTGCGTATGAAAAGTCCTGCAAACAGAAGCACTGATAAGACATTGCTGAATCACAATATACAGATTTTTTCCTCCCACTCCATAAGACACCTGTTGTATGTTCATCAAGCTACATTTTACAGGAATTTCATGTCTTTCTCCTGCTATTTTCTTAGGATAAGAGCAGTTATAATACTGTTTTAAAAGAATGCCAGACCCAAAGAGCAAGCAACCATGAAGTCAGGATTTGACAGGGGAACCTCCCACCTGTACCCCCCCACAAAAAAAAACAAACACAAAACACCAAAAAGAAAAAAAAACCCAGCCCCTCAACACTTCCAGCTCTAATAGGCTCTCAGTCTTCACACACACAAATCTACTGTCTGCCATTATTGTGAAACCTAGATATGACCACCCATTAAGTAGGCCACTAGTTAATTTCCAGCCTTCAACCTCCCCTTCCTCCCCACTGCCAGCCAGAAGGATTAAAACAGAAGTTCAAGGCACAGATGCATCAAGCCAGTTTCAGAAGCCAGGGCAGCCTGCTTGCCACTGCTCTTCTTTCTGACACTTAAACTCTCTGAAGCCTGAGGTAAGTTATAACCTCTAGCCTCAGTTTCTCCAGTTATAAGATGGAAGAAAACCTTCAGAAGACCTCTTCTTCTGAAAGAACTCATCGATTCTTTTAAAATACTTTTCTCTTTTAAAATACTTTTCTCTTTTAAAATACTTTTCTCTTTTAAAATACTTTTCTCTTTTAAAATACTTTTCTCTTTTAAAATACTTTTCTCTTTTAAAATACTTTGTATGACCTTACATATAACCTTACTGTTATGAGATACTCAGCAACTGTTCAACTATCGAAACAATAAAGAGAAAAAAAGTTTGGACTGTGAACACCACGAGCTGAACAGAGAAGTCGCAC